TGTACAACAGATGGGGGCTTCGCCATTAGGCAAAGCTTCTAATTCTGTGGGCATTGAAGGATTGCACCCGGTATCAGATTGGATATTCTCTCTCAGAGAATCGGTCAATTTTCTAAAGCTGACAGATGCAATGCTGTCCATTAGCTATATTACCAAGTAAATGTACATTTGAGCATAACGCCAACAATATAGAAGGGAGACTGGTTTGCAGAAAAGCAGCTCCTTTTCATGGCTTCCAAGAATATTCTATGATCAACTAAAAGATCGCAGGGAACCAATAAGTAATAGGAGAAAAACACACCTGCTGTGGTAATAAGACAACTTTTTGGTAGGAAATCTCAGAGTTTGAATGTATATCAGAGCTAAAGAATCCCACTGTTGTTGAGATAGCTCAAATTCAATGTACTTGTCCCACAAGCTATAGCTTAAATAGTCCTTTCCAACAAAGGATATTGCCCTCTTAAACAATCTGATAGATATGGAATAATACCATTGAGTTTATTTTGCTCTTCTGATTAAATCGAACAAAATAGACGAAGGAAAATTTGAAAAGGAAATGGACATGCGTAGTAGAGGGAATAGAGGAAAATCATCAAAAGCTCAGTCGGAATGTTAAAATATGCCAAAAAGAGGAAATTCTTGGCATACAGTTTTCATTTGCAGCAATAAGCTTCTTGATCAAAGCACAAAAATGATTTTCTTATACTCTCAGCAGCACATGCAATAATAATGTACGTTACCTTTTCGGTCCACAGTTTGAAAACTCGTAGCTGAGTACACAGGATAATTGAAAGCAACAAAAATATAAAAAAAATAAAGAAGGAGAAGAAGGAGAATATTCAATTGGAAAGCTCTGTTTAGTAGTTTTTTGCGAGAGTTATTCCTCTTCCCCCTGCCCCCAGTTCGTTCACTTTTTGGAATTAATATACTTCACAGGCTTCTTAAAAATATATATATAATTTCTTTTCCTCCACTCCATAGCACGAGAAAATCAACTCAATGAGAACAAAAGCCAATACTCAATAGAAAACAGTCAAATCAAATTCTAGGTTTTCATGAAATAATCAGTCCTCAAAGGGCATTCCAATTCGTGCACATCTCTAAATCTCTATACCGTACTACTTGTTAATTCTTGGCTCATAGAAAATACCTGCGAACATCAGCTGGATCTTCAAAAACTGATATGCTGAAACTACAGTAGTCAACCCAAATACCGACAGAGTAAGTTGCTGATTGAACTGCTTGTTCAAAGACATCAATAACCTTATCCACAGAGCACAACCTTGTTTTATGAGCTGCATACTTTCTCCAGTATCCATGGCACAGAGGAAACTCGGACAAGAATGAATCATACACCAAAGAAATCTCCTCAATGACATCCTGCATTTGTTGGAAAAAAAATCATCTGGTCTCAGAAATCCAACAAACCCTAGGACTTTAAAAATTATAGTTCAAGATAGCACAAAATGAGTCTAAAAGCTTGTTTCATGACTGTCAATCAATAAATAAATATTTTCTAACAGAACAAATTATATCCTGTGGACCAGTGGTTCAAAGTTCAGGATGAAAAAAAATAATAATACAATGGCTTAAGCATATTGATACTCTCTGAATAATACAAATAGAAGCAGAAAAAATTTGGCTTGTAAAAGAGACATTCGCCCCATAAGGTGCCGTGTTATAGCAAGCACAATCAAATTTGAGGTTTATAATTTCCTGATAGGTTTGGTTTGTAACAAGCAGTTCAAGGGGTCGCGAAGTCCTTTTACAGAAAAACTTACAGCATGCTTCATCTCAATCTCTGAAATAAGTGAAGTCCATTCATCAAAATTCAATCCACATTTGGGAACACCTTCGTGAAGTTTGGACTCATCTAAACCAACTGCAAGAAGGAAACATAACCATTACCATGCTACTCCATTCAACAAGTCATTTGAAAGGAGATTTTGCTCAGACCCAAGGGTCGAGTTCCCTGATATTGTTGTAAAACTAATAACAACGACAATAAAAGCACCCATAACACCAAAAATTCCAAGTTTCTCTGGCGAAAAGAACAGAAACAAAACTAGGCGCTGAAATCAAACTTCAGAATAAGTTCCCGTTATGTTTAGATACAGTAAAAAACACATACAAATGCAGGGGGCAATATATACATCTCAGAAATCAAACCCGCCGAAAAACAATACATCGAGCTTGAGAGAGAAAAAAAAAACAGAAAAAGATGAAACCCCATGACTCATCTGCTCTAAAACCAATGACCCTTTTGGAGTTCTAGCAATAAGTCATTGCGTTATCTGCACTGAGATACAATCTCAAGGTCATTCGCCTTCTTAATTTAAGTAAAGGAGAGAACGTTTTTTGTATAACTATTTCAACAATAGAATATAGCGGCATGGGATCGAGCAAACGGTAACTTGAATAGGAAAATTGGAGGAAAAAAACAGCTGGACGAACAGAAATCGCAAACCTGCGGACTTTGATTCTGCTGGCTGAGCCTTTGTGCTTGAATTATTGAGAAGTTGAAGATCATTCGCCATGGCAATAGCTCTGGTTTGGCATAGAACTGGACTCGACAGAGAAAATACCAGACGAAAGAAAGGGCAATTGTAAAAAGACAATAAAATAATTAAAAACTAAATTATAACAAAATTCTGTAATTTGTTTAAAAATATTAATAATACCTTTAAATTTAAGAAAAAATAAAAATAGATATTACTTTATTAACAAGTTTTATTAATATTTTTAACTTTTTTATAAAAAATAATATATATATATATAAAGATTTTGTTTGTAATGGTAAGAGAGTAAATTATTTTAAATAATTATATTGTTTAATTATAGTTTATTGTGTCAAAATCGTACTCTTACGGGACGTTATAAGTAATCGTGCAACATTCACTCTCACTACTGAATGAGTCAGCCAACTCAAAATCGTGTCACCTTCGAACAAACGGCATATACTCAAGCTTCTAGCTTTAAAAATAATGTTTTAGAGAATGGGAGCCGGTAGAGATTTTAAAAAACAAGATCGAGAAAAATGAAGAAAAAAGTGTTATAGGCTATGACCAGAGAAGACACAACACTTAGATAGCATATAACTTCGAATATAAATAATTGATGGCTAGTTGCATCCACGGTAAAGATATTTCAGGTCTACTAAATGTAGATATAAATATATCGAAAAAGTTGTATAATTTGAAAATACAAAAAAAAAAAAAAAAAAAAAAAAAAAAAAAAAAAAAAAAAAAAAAAAAAAAAAAAA